ATTTGTTCATCTGCATTCATAATCATAAGCATTGTGTGGCATCTTACGGCCAAAAATAGGGCTTGTTTTATATTTAAGTATCTTCAATCGCGTCAACACGAAGATTTTTAACCTTCGTATCTCCGGATAGAAGACACTTAAATAAGGGCAGCTATTGTACCCCAATTTTCCCCCTAAGATTCCCCTATCATGTCATATCAACTCGATCATAACAAGATCACATTAGGGTTGGTTATTCCTCTTTTTCTTTCTCCTATCTTTAAGTTTTCTCTTGAGGAATCTCCAAGCACCTTAGTTGTGTATTTTGTATATGTGTTGTTGACTAACTTCTCATCAAAATACATAAAATATTTGTCTTTGTCTTTGTAATTTATGTTTTGTAGGTACCGAGTCAAAGCATATGACAAATAAGGATTTCTGGTATTATTTTCCTAAAATCTGTATTTGCAAAGAAAAAATAATTAATAAAAATTCATTTTTTTTCACTGATGCAATCGATTGCTCTTAGAGTGCAATCAATTGCACTTAGTACATTTTGCGTCATTTTTGTAAAAATACACTGATGCAATCGATTGAGCCTAGAGTGCAATTGATTGCACAATGTGAAAATTTGAAAAATCAACAATTTCAAGCTTGATAATTTTGGCTCTAATTTTTCTTCATTTTTGAAATATATATCATTAATTCAAATTTTGGTGTCAATTTTTCATTTTTTGAATAATATATCATTAATTCAAATTTTGGTGCCAATTTATCATTTTTTTTTTAAATATATGTCATTAATTCAAATTTTGGCTCTAATTTTTGAAAGTTATTCATTAATTAAAATTTTGACTCTAATAATCAATTACCAAATTACCACTAATCTCAAAACCTAAACTCTATAAATAGAGCCTTCATTTCATTCAAATTGCAAGCTTTTGATAGCCAAAATCACTTTGCTAAAAAATCTCTCAATTTTCTCCATCTACCAAATTCACTCAAAGCTCTATTTTCAAAAAAAGTTAGTGAGCTTTGCATTAAAGCTTACTAATCTTTGAGCTAAACCTCCATCCAAACACTTTTTCTCCATTAATTCTCTACATCCAAGCTGGAGCAATTGATTCTTGTGGGTGAATTAAAGTGAATTCTGAAAGTTGTTTTGATAATTCTCTAGATCCACCTTTGGTAAGTTGGATAATTCATCTTTCACAATGTGATCTCTTGTTGATCTTTGGGTTTGATTCATTGAGCATTATTTTGTGATTTCAATGGTGCTATTTTCTCATAATTTGATGTAATTTTCGTGCTCAATTGGATCCATGATCATAAGGTATTTTATGGAAAGTTTGAACAAGAATTATGCCTTTTGAAATGTTGTTTTTCCTACTGTAACAGTGTGCAATCGATTGTTGTCCTGGTGCAATCAATTGCACAGAAGTATTTCACGTAAAATTTTGAAAAATTGTACTATGCAAATCGATTTGCACTGTAGTGCAATCGATTTGCACAGAAACAAAATGCATTTTTTTCCTTGTTTTGGGGCAGCTTTGATAAAAAATGTTTTCTCTACTCACTCCTTTTGATTGTTGGTTTGGATTGCAATTTTAAATGTTCAATTTCTCTTTAAATTCAATGGAATTTATGGTGTAGATGAAGTTGGATAAATGTTCATCAATTCAAATCTACCAAAGAATGAATTATTTAATTAATTTTTTATGCTTTGGATTAATGATATGTTCAGTGCTTTAATCCATCTAGATGAGTGATTTAATTTAAAGATGAAAGAAATTTAAGGTAGTGATCCAAGTTAGCTTATCATTCCCCTCCATCTTAATCTTATCCCTTTCTTTTTTTAATTGTGCTACATGTTAAGGTATGATGATCTCTATATCATTTATCCAAACATGAAGTACATAGATTGCTATTGACCGGCCTCAAAATAGGTGCGACTTCTACATAAGTCCACTTACGATTGCTTAACATAGCGCTAAATTTTGTCCCGATTCGAATAAATGATCATTAGTGGACCTAACATATGTTTGCAAGCCCAAGTATGTTAATTTGATCTCTTTGATCCAATAACCTTGAGATTTATTATGTGGAGGCTTTGGTTCTACCAATCCTCTAATGGATATTCATCAATTTTTGTCAACGTGGATCACTTAAACGTCGTTGATCATTAAATGTTTCCTTGAGGTTTCTTAAATGGATAATATAGTTGACAAAAAGCAAATGCAACTTGTTGTGTGAAGGCTTTTGTTCTACCCATCCTCTAATGAGTTCCAAATGCAAGTTTCAAGATGGTCATCCAACTAACCACTAGTTTTTAACAATTGATTTTATTTTATGCTCTTCACTTTATGCTTTTATTTTTATGCTTTATGTACCATTTACTTTAGCATTTAAGTTTCATGATATTTTCATCTTTGCTCACTTCAGCATTTACTTTTATGTAATTTTTATTTTGCTCACTTAAGCTTTTTCTTTTCTTTTGAAGATACTTAATAATCAAGATGAACCATAAAAAACTTTAATGATACTTGGACTATTTGGTTACTATTTGTAGTGGTGAAAATCGGAGATCAAGCTATTAATTAACTTGACTCACAAAAAGCAAGAGTCGCCACCGCGCTTTATTATTTCCAAAGGAAAAGGGAAAAGAGCGAAATAAAACCCTAAAATATGCAATGTATAATAATATTTAAAAGTAATGAAAATACAATGCGTTTTTAAAAGAGATCGAGAGTTCAGGGGTTGGTTATACAATGGGATGGTATTAGCACCCAATGCATCTGCGGTACTCCGCAGGAACCTTTTGAAATATCCGTTTTTTGGTTAAAATTGTTTGTTTGAAAAAAATGGTTCGTTTGGCTAAAAAATGGGTATGGACGAGATTTGGAAGATACGACGACCTAGTGTTGAAGTTTTGACTTAAAAAGGGGTGTGAGTTTAAAAATTGATTTGTAGGAGATTTGTCTTAAGATTAACAAAACTAAAAAAGTATGAAGGGATTTCACATAATCGTATTAGATATTCGATGACATGAAGTCAACAAATTAATTCTTTCCCTTGGATTTAAAGCCACATACAGATAAGTAAGCTAAGAATATACCAAACCTTAGGTGAAAATAAATCACAAGCCGACAACATCAAAAAAATGGTATCAGATAAGGCTCAAGATATTGAATAAAGCTCGCGGTATAAGATTCCCTGCATCACATGAAATATACAGACAAAACTAACAGCACGGGAAGACTTATACAATTTTCAGAAGTTAGTTGGAATTAAAAATAAAATCACAATGCGATGAAAATAATATTTTCAAAACCTGAATTTATTTACAAGTAAAATATACAGTCAAAATATTATGTACAAGTATATATTTACAGTACCAAATATTAAATAAGAATAGTAAAATACAATAAGAGGTAAAAGGGAGAAGTGTAGGAATTGTGGACACGCTATGCGGGAATGAATTGCTTGAAACGATTTTCGAAAACCTTCACAGTAAACAAACTCGTTATTAGCATAAGTGGTATAAAAAATTAAAATGAATGAAATTGCAACAATTAAAAATGTGTTTAGAAAATATAAAAATAAAAAATGAGATTGTATGATCCATATGAACAAATGAATATTTACACAAATAAAAATCAAGAATTCATGACATTATTCCATGTAAACACAACATTATTTCAAATGTATCAAAAGCAACCGCTACTTCAAACACAACGGAAAACAAAAATCCAAAGTTCACTTTGCAACATGAGAAATTGAATTCAAAGCATGAACCAAGCAATCAATTATTCAAGTATTTTAATTCACAAACTAACTAACACCAAAGAACTTATGCCAATATTCAATCCAAAATCAAAACATAGAAAATTGATTTTGAAACAAGCTAAACTCAATCGGAAAAAAAAATCCGGGCAGCAACCAAAATTCATCACAATTAACTATCCATTAGCATAGACATGTTATTGTTTAACCAACAACACTAACAGCTCAACCTTGATTTCTAGCAACAATAACAAGCTTCAAAATATGAAAATCTATTTAACATGAACACTAGACATGAATAGCAAAACCATAACATTGATTTTTTTAAAACTTGATGAACTTTTTCAACAACATTCAATGTGGCGCCAATATTAGTGTTCACAAATTAGAACCGATTAAACTTAGTGTTCAACTTCAACACCAATCATATTTAATTCAACTAACTCTAAAAAAAAACAAATCAAAACCTGATCGCACAAATCAGATTCTTTTTGCATAATAACACAAAATTGTTTTTCTTCAAAGCTTACAAAACGCTTTTACAGCTTAACAAACTAACATATCTGAAGTAACAGGAACCATAATATTAGGAATTCACAGGATTAGGCATACAGATTCAACACAACCTAACAAATCGTTTCAACCAAAATTCAATGCATATTTTCTCAATTATAACTCGAATAAAATCGAAACAGCATAACAATCATTCGTACCTGTCGTGCACAGCAGTGGCAAAGGGAATCGGACGAAGACCTGCGTTACAGAGCAGAACAGAGGAAGTAACTCGCGGTTGGTTTGCTGGAAACAACAGTGCTAAGACAAAGCAGAGTTGTAAGGCGTTGGATTGATGGCTGATGGTTGCGGAAATTGAACAGAGGCGGAGATGAGATGCTAGCGGAATAGGGTGAGGTTATAGTGATGAGGCAATTGAAGGAGAACCGGTGATGATGTAGTGGGTTTACGGTTTCTAACAGAAGGGCGATTGGTGGGTGATTTGGGACGGTGGTGGGTTAATCAACGAGTTGCGGTAATTGAGTTGAGAGGAAGGTTGTTGTAAACGGAAATAAAGGGAGTGGATGATGCTGAGATTAGATCGGTGAAGGGAGTTCGTTGGGTTGTGTGAACTGAACGAAGGTGAGGCTATGATGTTGAAAGGTTGACGAAATGGGTTACAGTTGAAGTGGTGGAAAACGTGAAGCTAGCGAAGACGGTAAGTGAGCAGGTTGTTGGGGTAGTTGTTATTTATGTTGTGTTGGATTGAAGGCGGAGGCAGGGAGTAGTGAAAGATGGAATATCACTGGGTTGTTGATTGAACTCGCGGAAGAGGGGAAGTAATTGAATGGGGAGTAAAGGGTTGTGAGGAAGATTTCTTGAAATTGTTTCTGTCGAATGGTGTAATGTTGAAATTGAAGGGAGATAAAGGGGTTAACAATGGCGAGAGAGAGAGATGGAGTGGTAGCCGTGGGGTAGAGGGGTTGATTAGCAGCTTTGAGAATTTCATTTTCATGCCTTTGTTGTAAGGCAATATCAATTTGAACTTCTGGTGGAGCCAGTGCAGGAGATTCGACAAAGTGCAAATTAGCGTCACCTGCAAGTTTCTTGGCAAGATACAGGAAAGGCTTCTCAAAGTTGTAATTGCTCTTAGCTGAAATCTCATAGTACTGCAAATTCTTCTTCCTGTGGAAAGTAACCTGCTTGGCCTTCACTTGCCTGTTCTTCACATCAACCTTGTTTCCGCAAAGAACAATTGGGATGTTTTCACAAACCCGACAAAGATCACGGTGCCAAGTAGGGACATTCTTGTATGTCAGCCGAGCAGTAACATCAAACATTATAATCGCACACTGCCCATGGATATAGTATCCATCTCTGAGACCACCAAACTTCTCTTGACCAGCAGTATCCCAGCAGTAGAAACGAATCTTGCCACAGTTTGTGAAGAAATCCAATGGATGCACTTCCACACCAACAGTTGGTTCATATTTCTTTTCAAATTCTCCAGTAAGATGCCTCTTGACGAAAGTTGTTTTTCCTGTGCCACCGTCCCCGACGATCACAAGCTTGAAGCTAGGATAATCAACTGTTTGCTGATTAGGCAATGCCATTGAATTGAATGGAATCGATTATGGAGAAGACGCTAGGTTGCATTGTGTTTCAGTGTGAGGAATGAATGAAGAAAGGAATGGGAGGGTTGTGAGGAGTTGGAAGAGAGAGAAGACAAATAGAAAGGTTAGAGAGAGTAGATTACTGTTTGTTTTTTGTTTTGTGATGTGTCCCCCCCCCCCCCCCCAATTACAAAGAGATAAAGAAGCTTAAAATAGAGAAAATGAAAAGGAATATTATGATTTCAAAATAAATCTAAGCCGTTCAATATAAATTCAATCTCTATCAATCCGCAAATCATGCTATCAACCAATGAGAATTAAGCAAAGCCTAATTAATATTTTTTGTGACCAAAAAGCCCCTGAATGACAAAAATAAAATAAAAACCTGAAATTATAAAAAATAACTCAATTTAAAATGATTTTTTTTGAATATTTTATGAATAAAAAATAAAGACCCAAAATGACCGAAAATGATAAAAAACAGACGAAAATTTATCCGAAAAAATAAAATGAACACATTAAAATAATCTACATGTCACAAAGATTAAAAAAAATATTCAAGAAGTCAAAAAATCAAAAATAAAATAATAATAAAAATATCAGACTAAACAGACGTTTAAGGTTAAAAACGAGACTTCGAACTGTACCGAAAAAAATAAAGCGAGCATACCGTCATAATCTATGCGAAGCGCAGATTCATAAAATGATCGGTAAAAGGTAAAACTTGAAATATTTTCTCGCTACTTTCCCGCATAGTGTCGAATCGCTTTTAACAGTCTGTCTATAAAACCAAAATATTTTATTATCGACATATAAACAACTTGGAGCAGTGCAAGAAAAATAGTAAACAGATAAAAATGAATGAAGTGAAATGTCGGGTATTTTACAACTGAAGGACGATGCAAACTTTGATTTAAACTGACTTTTTCTGGTCAACTTAAATACGACTAATGATGCAAAATGTGATGAATGAAGATGTTTACTAATGATTGTGACCAAATAACAAAATATGATATGAAAGTGCGACCAAAACATATTAGGGGCGAAATTTAGGGTGCAACAGTTGTGCCTTGATGAATCAGTCTTCGAGAATCCACAATCAACCGTACTTCGGGCTTGGGAGACTCAAAACTTTAATTGAGGTGCGACACCTGATGCTCTTGATTCAGACCTGTCTCTGCACATGACACAAAAGAAAACATGAACATACACCTTTGTATGCGATTAGAAATTAGTGGTACATATGCTAAAAATGTTCAAAACACTTGACAATCTTCGCATAGTCAAAGCTCGAAGGTGAGACATTAAAACCGACCGTATTTCGTGACCTTGACTTATCTTTAAAAATGCAAAAATAAAAATGGGATCTTAGGTCAAAAATTGGGGTACAACAGCTGCCCCTATTTAAGTTTCTTCTATCTGGAGATATGAAGATTGGGATCTTCATTTCGACGAGATTGAAGGGACTTAAATATAGAATACACAATTTTTGGCCTTAAAATACCGTGATTATGTTCATGATATGATATGAATGTAATGCTCTGAATTTTATGGGGAATGACGCCATATGAGACAGACTATGCTGGAGAAACCAAGCACGTTATACAGTAATCCCACAGAGGAAGAGGTTGTAACTCCACTGGGGAAACAAAGTCATAGACTTCAAATGAGAGACTCTTGAATGATTTACATCAGTGTTGAGACCGGAAAAGAAATGATTTACATCAGCACGAAGACTGGAAAAAGAAATGATTTACATCAGCACTGAGACTGGAAAATGATTGACATCAGCACTGTGGCTGGAAAACAAAATGATTGACATCAGCACTGTGGCTGGAAAACAAAATGATTGACATCAGCACTGTGGCTGGAGATAAACATCTCTGATTTCTGAATTTTACCAAGAACGGTAACACATTTCTTCTTTAACCAAGATATCGCTTGAAAAGGATAAAATAACAAACTTCCCCACGGGACTTTTCCGAAAGGGATGCCATTTGCTGAGTAGACATTATTGTTGGGGATACACAAGCTGCTCAAATAAAGAGGCCGCCACTTGCTTCCTTCAAAAAAAGTGCTATGACATACAAGCTGCTTAAATAAAGAAGCTGCCACTTGCTGTCTTCAAAGAATATTAAAATACACAAGCTGCTCATGAAGAGCTGCCACTTGTTGCTTATAACCCACAAGCTGCTCATGAAGAGCTGCCACTTGCCGTCTTCAAAGAATATTAAAACACACAAGCTACTCATGAAGAGTCCGCCACTTGTTGCCAATAAACCACAAGCTGCTCATGAAGAGCTGCCACTTGCCATCTTCAAAGAATATTAAAGCACACAAGCTACTCATGAAGAGTCTGCCACTTGTTGCTTATAACCCACAAGCTGCTCATGAAGAGCTGCCACTTGCCATTTTCCGTACAAGCTGCTCATGAAGAGCTGCCACTTTCCGTTTTCCAAAGAAAAATAACGTACAAGCTACCCATGAAAGGACTGCCACTTGCTGTTTTTAAAAAGTGTTGATAACATACAAGTTGTCCATGAAGAGACTGCCGCTTGCTGTTTTTAAAAAGTGTTGATAACATACAAGTTATCCATGAAGAGACTGTCGCTTGCTGTTTTTAAAAAGTGTTGGTAACATACAAGTTGTCCATGAAGAGACTGCCGCTTGCTGTTTTTAAAAAGTATTGATAACATACAAGTTGTCCATGAAGAGACTGCCGCTTGCTGTTTTCTCAAAGATACCCATAAAATATCATGAAGATATTGCTGGAGGTGAGAATCAATAATTTCATCGAGGATGGACAAACTGCTCATGAAGAGACCACCATTTGTCGTAGAGAAATCAGAAATAATCAAACTGCTCAAATAAATAGTCAGTCGCTTGTTGTCATGCCGATATTCCAGAAGAAGGTTGTGATAACACTACTGGGGAATAAAGTTCATCTTCAATGGGGAACCATGAATAAATGCTTCTTGAGGAGACCAAGTATTTACGTTGCAAAATAAATGCACTCTCCATCTAGGTTTCACAGCCTAGAGAGATCCACAGGGTATCACTCACAAGAGACAAAACTCAATCCAGGAATAAACTGGAGAGAAAATAGTCAAACAAGACTCCACCCAATGAGGAAACAACTCAAATGGGGATTTATCATATCCAGAGATGGAAAAGGAAAGCTAAAGCAAGGTTCTTCCATGAGAGTTAACTCAATGGGGAATTAGAAAGGAGGTGCACTTTCTGCTTAAGTTGACACTCTATTTGGAAAGATCAAATATGCTATTTGAATTGACATAACCAAGGTATACGAACCCAAAGACATCAACAAATACAAATGTGCATGCATGATGCAAGTATGAATAAATAAATGAATGTCATGTATATGCTGACAAAACAAATAGAGAAGATAGACAGAAGATGATAAGACATCCCAATACAACCCGACACTCGGCTAATCTCAACAAGATGGGAACATTACTAGAGATAGAACACATGCCATCATTGGAGTAAAGTCCTTTTACAAGGCTTAAATCTCTCTGGAGAGGAAAGTATTTTCAGTAGAAAACCCAAAGTCCAGTCTTCTATCGCAAACAATCCATTGAAAGGATAACAACACAAACATTGTTTCAGCTGGAAAAAAGTCATGGTTAGCTGGAGATACTGGGAACACCACCCTATGATAATGTGTGCAAAACATATCACATATCTTAACAAATCTGGATTGCCCCTGGGACTAATTTTGGATGCCCCAAGTTTACTGCTGATAAGCTGCGTGATGCATGACAATTCTTGCGAATAACTTCACTTTTAAAATGCCCCAAGCTATATGGTTGATGAGGAGAAATCGTCTCAAGAGGATTTTACAAAAGACCTGGCATTCACCATGCTATGGTGTCTTCAAACTCTTAGAGAGATTCATCAAATCTCGACGTGATTGCCCCGGATTGACTGTAGTTGGCAAAGTCTTCAAATTTTGCCCCAAAAGAGTAAACACGTTGGGAAAGCATTAACTAGGAGAAGCAACATGTTCGTGCTTAAGGTCTTCATGTGACATGCCCCTGGATATGATTTTTTTCTTGAAATGATTCGCCAATTACTCAATCATAGTTTTAGGCCTTAAAAGAATAAACTCATCACTAGTGCTTATATGTGAGCTTCCTTGATATCAAACAAATGTTTTGTAGTTAGAAAAAGTTTATTATGAGAATGAAAATTCTAATGCAACAGTTATGTAAGTCTTGAAGATTTTGAAAAGATATCGCACAAACTTTGCGAGTTAGAGCAACATTTATTTTTGTATAGCAAAATCATATGATACCAACATAACTATTTAGAACATTCATGGGAGTCAGGAACATTATCTCATTGAAGTATGCTTTCAAAATAACTTTGCTTCAATTAGGACTTTTGAAGGTTGTAATGTGGCTTAGTTCACGGTTTTTAGAAAAAAGATTTTAAGGCTCAAAATATTTGGTGCCCATCCCCTTCATGATGTTCTCCAATCCTATGTTCAGTTAATTCAACATGAGTGTTCATCTCTCAAAAGGATTTTGTGACGGTTAAGGAAATGACGAGGCTTTCGGAGTAGAAACCACCCTTATGTCTTCGTGTTTGTAGTCACCAATTTGTTCTTTGCTGAGGACTTTTCTTTGTAGTCCTTTCTTTGCAATTTTATTTTCCCTAACTTTTGCCTGAACTAATTCTTTTGAATTGATAGTCCAGCGGGATGCCTTAATTTTTCCTAAGTCACACGTTTTCATGTTTTTTGACTTAGCAGGCTTTTTTTTTCTCTCTTGATTTTTGACTTTTGAACAAAATGTGTGACATTAGCTTGCATTTGCTTGTTGAGAGGATTGTGATTGCCTCGTTTCTTGATGAATGAGGGTTAACATTGTGGTTCCACATCCTCTAGATTCATTATACATGAAGGATAGCCCTCGTAGTTTCTCTTCAAAAAAACATATTCCTTATGAATTTTGAACACTCAGTCAGATTAACTGAAAACTACCCTGCCCTAGGTTAAAATTTGAGGGTTTTTTCGTATAGAAAAGAAACTCCTACTTCAAGGCTCAAAAGGGGTTAACAAGGGATTATCTTCCTTATATCTCCGGTGTTTAGGGATTTGAAACAATGCCTGTACATCATCAGCAAGATTTTATTCAAAAGTAATACAACCAGAGATTTTGTGTTCTTTAGATCATCATCCTCCCTTCAATCTCTGCCTAGGCAAGAGAATGAGCAACAATTTGGTATCATAGTGCAAAAGCAATTTAAAATTTGAAAACAAATATGAGTGAAACGAATGAATTTCTTCAAGACAAACATATTCATTGTATTAAGATAATCATTCAGATGCAAACAAGTTCTTACATGCAAACCATGTTTTGATAAACAAGAAAAATTACAAAAAGCATAAATAAGTTAATAATCTGGGAAGGCTTTCCATCTGGACTTGAATTACCGAAAACATCATTCAAAACTCAAAGTGACCATCAATCATGTTTACTCTTCAGCACATGCTTGATTTGAACTTCAAAACCAACGTCCTTGAATGACAAGATACCACTTCTGACCAACTTCTGAACCTCGATCTTCAAAGCAAAGCAACCCTCCAAGTCATGCCCAGGAGCACCTTGATGAAAGGTACATGTCAAATCAGCTTTGTATTACCAATGTACCTTCTCGGGAACCTTCGGTGGAGGTCGAGTCTGAACCAAATTCCTCTGCATCAGGATAGGGAACAACTCTGTATAGGTGATTGGAATTGGATCAAATTGAGTTTTCCTCTGATTAGGAACTTGCTGATTCTGTTGATAAATGGGAGAAACATGATGATTCTGATGATGATTATTTCTTCCTCTGGTTCTCTTCTTGGAAAAGTCATTATCAAACTTCTTCACACCATTAGCTGAGCTACCATCTTCATATAAACATCCCTTTCAGACATCTTCTTCTAGACGCACTCCCACATTCACCTTGTCAGGAAAGTCACTAGGCGCATTAATTATCATCTTCTCATGAATGAATGATTTCAGAGTTTCAGTGAAGACTTTTATCATCGCTTCTTTCCTCCTAGAAGGATTGACTTGGGAGGCAACCAAAATTTCAACCAAACCAGTTAAGTGCTCCATGCTAGCTTTCAAAATAGTCATCTCTCTACGGAGTTCAGAAACCTCTTGCTTGATATTCTCCATTGTTCTCTTAGCGCGAGTGTTGTACTGGTGAGACCAAAGGAAAAATAAGACTCGGAAAAAGACCTTTGAAAGTGAAACAAAAAATGTAGAATGATGTATGATATGCAAAAGAGAGTTTTTATTTGATTTTCAAGGAACTCAAGATATTAAGTTGTAAACATCAAAGTATGAAGATAGAAGATGAATTTTAAATTGGCTCAAAGCGTTGATCAAGTTATCATCAAGATCAATCATCCATTTTGGTGGATTAGGGTTTTCACCCCATCAACACCCAAGATCCATTGAGCTTGACAAAACTTGTGGTATTTACAAAGAAAGACTTCCAAATTCCTTCAAAGTCAAGTGAAAAGGGTTTTATGGATGCATGAATGCATGGCTATGCAACAACCACAAGCAAGGTCACAAATAGAGTCGAAAGGTTCAACGTCATGAGCATGGAGTCAAGGTAAGGAACACCCCCAAGGTATGTACTAACGGTTTAATCACACCTGTAGAACAAGGTTCTAAGAGTTCCCGGAGTCTACATTCCTCCTTCGGATATTACCAACGTCTTAGTTACTCAATAATCAGCAATATTCTCAAGAGAAACTCATCCGAGCGTAGCATCGCGTAACAATTACTTCTGGATTACTCCGTTATAATCTTCGCGCTACACCTAAAAGGCCAAGATGGGTTAGGGTTCTATGGTTCCCAGCTTCTCTGGCTCCCAGGTCGAAAATAATAATGTCTTCCCGATTACTCGGTAAACAAATATTACGTTCAAAAGGGCCTTCCACTGAGTGGGGGATCTCATGCCTCCTTCTTCGGGATTACTCCCTCAAAGTTAACATGACTATACCGCCCGTCCTATTCCTAAGTGTAACTTAGTCCAGGTATAGGACTTGTCCTTTGTAAATATTATCAACACCCAAATAATCATAATATATACATATAATCAAACAAACAAATAATGATAAAACAGATAAAACAAATTAGGCTTAACCCACTTAGGGATGGACCAGCAAGAGGTCAATCTTTCCCCAGCAGAGTCGCCAATTCTGTAGCGGTGAAAATCGGAGATCAAGCTATTAATTAACTTGACTCACAAAAAGCAAGAATCGCCACCGCGCTTTATTATTTCCAAAGGAAAAAGGAAAAGGGCGAAATAAAACCCTAAAATATGCAATGTATAATAATATTTAAAAGTAATGAAAATATAATGTGTTTTTAAAAGAGATCGAGAGTTCGGGGGTTGGTTATACAATGGGAAGGTATTAGCACCCAATGCATCTGCGGTACTCCACAGGAACCTTTTGAAATATCCGTTTTTTGGTTAAAATTGTTTGTTTGAAAAAAATGGTTCGTTTGGCTAAAAAATGGGTATGGACGAGATTTGGAAGATACGACGACCTAGTGTTGAAGTTTTGACTTAAAAAGGGGTGTGAGTTTAAAAATTGATTTGTAGGAGATTTGTCTTAAGATTAACAAAACTAAAAAAGTATGAAGGGATTTCACATAATCGTATTAGATATTCGATGACATGAAGTCAACAAATTAATTCTTTCCCTTGGATTTAAAGCCACAGACAGATAAGTAAGCTAAGAATATACCAAACCTTAGGTGAAAATAAATCACAAGCCGACAGCATTAAAAAAACGGTATCAGATAAGGCTCAAGATATTGAATAAAGCTCGCGGTATAAGATTCCCTGCATCACATGAAATATACATACAAAACTAACAGCACGGGAAGACTTATGTGCGTCCGTACAATTTTCAGAAGTTAGTTGGAATTAAAAATAAAATCACAATGCGATGAAAATAATATTTTCAAAACCTGAATTTATTTACAAGTAAAATATACAGTCAAAATATTATGTACAAGTATATATTTACAGTACCAAATATTAAATAAGAATAGTAAAATACAATAAGAGGTAAAAGGGAGAAGTGTAGGAATTGTGGACACGCTATGCGGGAATGAATTGCTTGAAACAATTTTCGAAAACCTTCACAGTAAACAAACTCGTTAGTAGCATAAGTGGTATAAAAAATTAAAATGAATGAAATTGCAACAATTAAAAATGTGTTTAGAAAATATAAAAATAAAAAATGAGATTGTATGATGCATATGAACAAATGAATATTTACACAAATAAAAATCAAGAATTCATGACATTGCTCCATGTAAACACAAAAAATCAGCATTGCACACATTATTTCAAATGTATCAAAAGCAACCGCTACTTCAAACACAATGGAAAACAAAAATCTAAAGTTCACTTTGCAACATGAGAAATTGAATTCAAAGCATGAACCAAGCAATCAATTATTCAAGTATTTTAATTCACAAACTAACTAACACCAAAGAACTTATGCCAATATTCAATCCAAAATCAAAACATAGAAAATTGATTTTGAAACAAGCTAAACTCAATCGGAAAAAAAAATCCGGGCAGCAACCAAAATTCATCACAATTAACTATCCATTAGCATAGACATGTTATTGTTTAACCAACAACACTAACAACTCAACCTTGATTTCTAGCAAAAATAACAAGCTTCAAAATATGAAAATCTATTTAACATGAACACTAGACATGAATAGCAAAACCATAACATTGATTTTTTTAAAACTTGATGAACTTTTTCAACAACATTCAATGTGGCGCCAATATTAGTGTTCACAAATTAGAACCGATTAAACTTAGTGTTCAACTTCAACACCAATCATATTTAATTCAACTAACTCTAAAAAAACAAACAAATCAAAACCTGATCGCACAAATCAGATTCTTTTTGCATAATAACACAAAATTGTTTTTCTTCAAAGCTTACAAAACGCTTTTACAGCTTAACAAACTAACATATCTGAAGTAACAGGAACCAGAATATTAGGAATTCACAGGATTAGGCTTACAGATTCAACACAAACTAACAAATCGTTTCAACCAAAATTCAATGCATATTTTCTCAATTATAACTCGAATAAAATCGAAACAGCATAACAATCATTCGTACCTGTCGTGCACAGCAGTGGCAAAGGGAATCAGACGAAGACCTGCGTTACAGAGCAGAACAGCGGAAGTAACTCGCGGTTGGTTTGCTGGAAACAACGGTGCTAAGACAAAGAAGAGTTGTAAGGCGTTGGATTGATGGCTGATGGTTGCGGAAATTGAACAGAGGCGGAGATGAGATGCTAGCGGAATAGGGTGAGGTTACAGTGATGAGGCAATTGAAGGAGAACCGGTGATGATGTAGTGGGTTTACGGTTTCTAACAGAAGGGCGATTGGTGGGTGATTTGGGACGGTGGTGGGTTAATCAACGAGTTACGGTAATTGAGTTGAGAGGAAGGTTGTTGTAAACGGAAATAAAGGGAGCGGATGATGCTGAGATTGGATCGGTGAAGGGAGTTTGTTGGGTTGTGTGAACTGAACAAAGGTGAGGCTATGATGTTGAAAGGTTGACGGGATGGGTTACAGTTGAAGTGGTGGAAAACGTGAAGCTAGCGAAGACGGTAAGTGAGCAGGTTGTTGGGGTAGTTGTTATTTATGTTGTGTTGGATTGAAGGCGGAGGCAGGGAGTAGTGAAAGATGGAATATCACTGGGTTGTTGATTGAACTCGCGGAAGAGGGGAAGTAATTGAATGGGGAGTAAAGGGTTGTGAGGAAGATTTCTTGAAATTGTTTCTGTCGAATGGTGTAATGTTGAAATTGAAGGGAGATAGAGGGGTTAACAGTGGCGAGAGAGAGATGGAGTGGTAGCCGTGGGGTAGAGTGGTTGATTAGCAGCTTTGAGAATTTCATTTTCATGCCTTTGTTGTAAGGCAATATCAATTTGAACTTCTGGTGGAGCCAGTGCAGGAGATTCGACAAAGTGCAAATTAGCGTCACCTGCAAGTTTCTTGGCAAGATACAGGAAAGGCTTCTCAAAGTTGTAATTGCTCTTAGCTGAAATCTCATAGTACTGCAAATTCTTCTTCCTGTGAAAAGTAACCTGCTTGGCCTTCACTTGCCTGTTCTTCACATCAACCTTGTTTCCGCAAAGAACAATTGGGATGTTTTCACAAACCCGACAAAGATCACGGTGCCAAGTAGGGACATTCTTGTATGTCAGTCGAGCAGTAACATCAAACATTATAATCGCACACTGCCCATGGATATAGTATCCATCTCTGAGACCACCAAACTTCTCTTGACCAGCAGTATCCCAGCAGTAGAAACGAATCTTGCCACAGTTTGTGAAGAAATCCAATGGATGCACTTCCACACCAACAGTTGGTTCATATTTCTTTTCAAATTCTCCAGTAAGATGCCTCTTGACGAAAGTTGTTTTTCCTGTGCCACCGTCCCCGACGATCACAAGCTTGAAGCTAGGATAATCAACTGTTTGCTGATTAGGCAACGCCATTGAATTGAATGGAATCGATTATGGAGAAGACGCTAGGTTGCGTTGTGTTTCAGTGTGAGGAATGAATGAAGAAAGGAATGGGAGGGTTGTGAGGAGTTGGAAGAGAGAGAAGACAAATAGAAAGGTTAGAGAGAGTAGATTACTGTTTGTTTTTTGTTTTGTGATGTGTCCCCCCCCCCCCCCCCCCCCCAATTACAAAGAGATAAAGAAGCTTAAAATAGAGAAAATGAAAAGGAATATTATGATTTCAAAATAAATCCAAGCCGTTCAATATAAATTCAATCTCTATCAATCCGCAAATCATGCTATCAACCAATGAGAATTAAGGAAAGCCTAATTAATATTTTTTGTGACCAAAAAGCCCCTGAATGACAAAAATAAAATAAAAACCTGAAATTATAAAAAATAACTCAATTTAAAATGATTTTTTTTGAATATTTTATGAATAAAAAATAAAGACCCAAAATGACCGAAAATGATAAAAAACGGACGAAAATTTTTCCGAAAAAATAAAATGAACACATTAAAATAATCTACATGTCACAAAGATTAAAAAAAAAATTCAAGAAGTCAAAAAATCAAAAATAAAATAATAATAAAAATATCAGACTAAACAGACGTTTAAGGTTAAAAACGAGACTTCGAACTATACCGAAAAAAATAAAGCGAGCATGCTGTCATAATCTATGCGAAGCTCAGATTCATAAAATGATCGGTAAAAGGTAAAACTTGAAATATTTTCTCGCTACTTTCCCGCATAGTGTCGAATCTCTTTTAACAGTCTGTCTATAAAACCGAAATATTTTATTATCGACATATAAACAACTTGGAGCAGTGCAAGAAAAATAGTAAACAGATAAAAATGAATGAAGTGAAATGTCGGGTATTTTACAACTGAAGGACGATGCAAACTTTGATTTAAACTGACTTTTTCTGGTCAACTTAAATACGACTAATGATGCAAAATGTGATGAATGAAGATGTTTACTAATGATTGTGACCAAATAACAAAATATGATATGAAAGTGCGACCAAAACATATTAGGGGCAAAATTTAGGGTGCAACAGTTGTGCCTTGATGAATCAGTCTTCGAGAATCCACGATCAACCGTACTTCGGGCTTGGGAGACTCAAAACTTTAATTGAGGCGAGACACCTGATGCTCTTGATTTAGACCTGTCTCTGCACATGACACAAAAGAAAACATGAACATACACCTTTGTATGCGATTTGAAATTAGTGGTACATATGCTAAAAATGTTCAAAACACTTGACAATCTTCGCATAGTCAAAGCTCGAAGGTGAGACATTAAAACCGACCGTATTTCGTGACCTTGACTTATCTTTAAAAATGCAAAAATAAAAATGGGATCTTAGGTCAAAAATTGGGGTACAACACTATCCTTGGCATTATGGAGTATTGGACTTCTTGGACTTAGGATTAGAGACCTTGGCCTATGTTAGAGACCTTGTGACCTTAATTGATATTTTGTATGAAGTTCTTGAGGTTTACCTTAATACATTGGGTCGTTTGTTTATTTTGTGTGCAGGTTATTGTGATTACATACTTTGTTTGTAATCTGGAATTTATCCGTATACAGCCGTTACTCTGTCCAATTTTTGTGAAGACTTAATACACTTGAAGTTTGGTTCTATCAAGAGGTCTAGTATCTTTACTTGCTTAGTTTCAATCCAAAGAATTAGAATTCTACCTTGACTCATAATGTCATGTATTGGCTTCTTGTTGGTTAGATGATTCTTATCCCTAGCTTTTACCTTATGCTTTAGGATAGTCTCTTCATCTCCTCCCATCTTCTTTAATTTCAAAAATATTCTTCCTTCTTTTGAAAACTCTTCTTGTTTTTAAACTTGAACCACTTTCATAATTAACTTGGACTTAGGTCCATGCATTTTCAAAACTTTTTTCATAAATAAACTCCAATCAATTTAATAATACCTTGACCTTTTTTGTGAGAAGACTAAAAGTCAATCAATCTTATTTTAAACCATTTTGCCACTTTGGCTTTTTATTTTAAAACTTTTCTCAAAAGATTAGAATCTTGTCAATCTTTGTAGTGATGCAAACAACTATACTTCTACAATATGTAGTGAAGTGAGATATTTTCCACTTGGGTGTTGAGTGAGGCTTTGTTGATTCTAAAATACAAGCCATATCCTCCACTTTGAGATGATGCAAATTCTCTTTTTTCATAATTGTGGGTAGTAAGTATGTTTTCCACACGGACAATGACGATGATGTCTTATCTCATAAAATTAACCAACGCACTTGTGTTTTAATTTTTTTTAAAGGTGAACTACGTGTACCCTGATCCCCCTATTGCACGAAAGGTGGTAAGTAGGCACTAAAGGTTCGCAACCGCGGCGGATGCAAAAATCATTAAAAAAAAAAATTTCTTTTCTCACCTCCACCGTCTATTTTTTATATAACATTTTATAGCCAAAAATATACAGATTTTACAAAGAGGTTCCAACGGAGTACCGTAGATGTTTAGGATGCTAATACTTCCCTTTGCATAACCAACCCCCTTACCTTGAATCTTTCCCCTTCTTTTTGGGTTATTCTCTCTTTTCCCATTCCTTTGGAAATAATAAAGCGCGGTGGTAATTTTTATTTTTATTTGTACAAGTCAAGTTAATCCAATGGCTTAGTCTTAACATTTCTACCACTACACAAGGTTTTGAAAAATTTTTGATTGAAAAATTTTAGGTGTTCTATTTAAAACCCTAAAATAAGTGACTGTTGATGGAGGCTTCAGGGTTTCTTTGTTGTTGTTCTTCAATGTGAAGAACAACAATTTTAGGAGAACTCTTATGAATTGTGGATGATTATGAAATTGTGGTTATAAATAATTGAAAATGAAAATAAAGTTAGTAACAATAAACAACAAAAATATCCAAAGTGCACCAAGTGAGATTCAAACCTGTGACCTTCTGCTTACAAGTATTTCTCCCTTACAACCTGTGCTATGTTACTTATTTGAAGTAAAAAGCCAATTGAAAGTATATGACAGTGAGCAATTATTTGCTATTTAAAAATACAAATAATTGTTATTTTTTAAACAGACTTGAAAGCGAATTTTTATTAAAAAATCTCAGAATGTTAATGTAATTAAATCAAAGGAATTTTATACTCTGTAAAATCCAAGTTCGAAAATAAATTTGACGGTAGCACTAAGGCGGGCAACTTTGGGGTATGATAATGTCATGTAAAACATATAATAGTGAAGTTGCACTCACAAACTCCCCCTTTTTAATGATGACAAAACTTGCGACGATGCATTTCATATAGTTATCGAAGGCTCCCCCTGACTCTGATCTTCACATCTTCATCTCACATATTCTTCTCCCCCTTTGACAACATAAAAAAGAAAGAAGGCAACTTGTGAGAAGTATCATATTCCAATACCAATACTAATATATCACACAAAGACATTTTTGCAAAGAAGAGCATACAATTATATATCCCCATATATATGTAATGATGCAAAAAAATAATAGATAACAAGCATAAAACATTACCAAACATGTAATGTAATTGCATGAATAATAATGAATTTGATGCAAGAGCAAGCCAGTTAAGTTGCTTCTATAGCGTCACGATTTCGTAACACAAAACAATGGAACTCCCAATGCCGCACACGTATGTGCCTAGCATAGTGACAAGAACATGTCACTACTCAATCCAAAATGAAATTTTTTCCATAAAATGTCACTCAACTATAACATGAACCGTACATGCAATTAACATGCTTACATTCAACTCACGCACAAATGCAAGAAATAATAATAGGAACACATACTTGTACATACGAGAATAAACTTATACAAATGTGAAAGAGTTAATACATGAAGTCATTATAAGCATATACATTGAGAACACACAATGGTTATCAATAAAAAAAATTTGGAAATGAACATTCATGGTTTTCATCATTTGAGAACATAACAAGCATTTTTCATCAACTAAACATGTACTAAGAAAATATTACTTTCAAGGAGAAATTTGGAACAATATTACCTCACTCTTGATGGAATGGAAGTTGCACTCACATAATGTACATAATCAAACAAAGTGTTAGAGAAAAAGAATAAAAGTGCAAGCATCATAATAAAGAAGGCTACATTGGAGACATTAATAATCCTCAATTCCATATGTTAGTTGAAAGACGGTTTGGTTGCAAACATTTTTGTGAAAACGTCTGCAAGTTGATTTTCACTATCAAGATGCACGAGTACAACATCCCCTTTTTCAACATGATCGCGAAGGTAATTCCCCACGCATGTGTTCCTTCCTTTAGTTACTTTATTTGGAGTCTGGGAGAGTAATTCAACTCCCTGTAAGATTCATTTCAAATACTCCCTGCATAAGCTTAAAGAATTCTTTGACAATTCACATGTTAGTAGAATAAAATATGATGTAATGTCAAATGTGTTATGCTTGATGTTTAATGAAGCTAAACATGCTTATGTACACATAAGTGTTTATAAGAAATACATGAAAATATAATGTGATAAAGTCATTTCAAGTATATAAATTGATTACCTACTATGATTATCAATTAAGAATTATGTTGCAAATGAACACTCATAATATGTATATTATACATCAAGTATGTCATGTATTTAGATAAATAAACAAGTAAAAGAGAGAACTTACTGACAAAGTGAAAGTTAAATCGATACTACCTCACCATACAATATTATGGAGGATGCACTTGCATTTCACACGGGACTCTCGAAAGAAAGTTGAACCAAATGCAAAGTATGCCACAAAGATTTTAGAACAAAACGATCTTACTATTTTTCACTTTGATAAAGTACCCAAAATTATAACTTTTGATGAGTCTAAGAAGGTCATTAATTTAATGATCATTCATTTTTATTGAACTCTCATCATTTATCTTTTCCATGTTAATTATATTTCTCCTCCTCGTGTTTCACCAATTTGGGTTTATCAATACCTTCTTCGGGATCACCGG